TCTAGAGAAAAGAACATGTAATGGTTTGGTTCCAACTTCATCTTTAAGCCACATATTAGATGGTACCTGCTGTATACCCCATTATTGCACATATTGCTGAACTGTAGTCATCTTACGTACAGCATTATCTAAGGAATAGTTTTTACTCTTGGCCCATTTTTGACATTCTTAATAGTAAATAAGGCTCCTTATTTTGTTTTGAAATTGGTTTATTTGACTTTCCATGTTGTTGAGCACAAATGAAAAGTGAAAGCTCTTGGAGTAAGGGCTGCATCTTAATTTGAGCAGTTTAGGTTTGTGCTGCTGGAATAAATAATTTGTATGCGACATTGCATTACAAAAACCATGGTTCCCAGGATTGGAGATTTACTGGATTTTTAATTTATCTCATTTAGGAGCAGCTGAATTCTGTATAGGTTATTATTGTATGATGTATTGAATATTTTTTTATAAAGTGAAAAAAATATGGCAGTTAACTTAAAACATACCTGCTGTATATAGAGGCACTTGCCATAGCACTAAGTATTGTATAATATTTGTTTATATTGAAGGGAAAACCTGTCCATATTTCTACCAGTAGAAATGAAGTGAATTTTGAATTCTTGAACATAAGAAATGTATAGTGGAGAGGTTCTAAGGCCACTTCCAGCTGCTATCTATTATCATCCTTCTGTGAGTGCTTTATATTGAAAAGAGCTGTCTGATTGCTCTAGAATGAAACTGGAATTAGGCCTGTTTAAAAGTCTCTGTGTTAGGGTCAGAGGGGAGAGTAAGGGTAATGTCATGGTGCGTGTCTGCTACAGACTGCCAGACCAGGGGGATGAGGTGGATGAGGCTTTTACTAAGCAGCCAGCAGAAGTTTCCAGATCACAGGCCCTGGTTCTCATGGGGGATGTCAATCACCCTGACATCTGTTTGGGTGTAATACAGCAGTGCACAGGCAATCCAGGAAGCTTTTGGAAAATAATGGGGACAACTTCCTGGTGCAAGTGTTGGAGAAGCCAACTAGGGGCTGTGCTGTTCTTGACCTGCTGTTCACAAATGGAAGATTTGGTGGGGAATGTAGTAGTGGATGACAACTTGGGCAGCAGCAACTGCAAGATGATTGAGTTCATGAGGAACTCAATCCTGAGGAAAGGAGATATAAGGGTAAGGACCCTGGACTTCAGAAAAGTTTGACTCGCTGAGGGAACTGATGGGCAGGATCCACTGGGAGGCCAGTCTGAGGGGGATAAGAGTCCAGGAGAGCCAGCTGTATTTTGATGAATCCTTACTGAGAGTGCAGGAACAAACTATCCCAATATGCAGCAAGACTGGCAAGTATGGCAGAAGACCAGCTTGGCTTAGAGTGAACACTTCTTGCAAGCTTCCGTTTTGTGTTTTAGCTCACTGAAGTGGAAACCTGGACACGTGATTAGGAAGGAGTATAAGATTATTGCTTGGGGATGCAGGGAGGAAATCAAGAAGGCCAAAGCGCAGTTGCAGTTGTAGCTAGCAAGGGACGGGAAGGATAACGCGAAGGGTTTCTACAAGTATGTCAACAAGAGCAAGGTCAGGGGAAGTGTGGCTCCCTTACTAAATGGGGAGGCAACTTAGTGACAGATGATACAGAGAAAGCTGATGACCTCAATGCCTTTTATACCTCAGTCTTCACAGGCAAAGTCAGCTCCTAGACTACTGCACTGGGCACACAGTTTGCGGAGGAGCTGAGCAGCTGGTAGTGGCACAAGAACAGTTATGGGACTGTTTAGTAAATCTGGATGTATACAAGTCTGCGGGACTGGACGTGGTGCACCTGAGGGAGTTGGCTGCTGTGATTGCAGGGCCATTGGCCATTATCTTTGAAAACTCGTGGAAATTGGGAGAGGTCCCAGATGAGTGGAAAAAGGCAAATATTGTGCCCATCTCTTAAGAAAAGGAAGTTGGAAGATGCAGGGAACTGCAAACTGGTCAGCCTCACCTCAATCCCTGGAAAGATCATGGAGCAGGCCCTCAAGGAATCCATTTTTAAGTGGAGGAGGAGAAGGTGATTAGGCACAGTCAGCATAAATTCACGAGGGGCAAGTTCTGCCTGACCAACCTAATTGCTTTCTATGACGAGATGACTGGCTCTGTGGATGCGGGGGAGGGCAGGATGGGTGATATACCTGGACTTTAGCAAGGCTTTTGATATTGTCACCGATTCTTGCAAGGAAGCTAAAGAAGTATGTGTTGCATGAATGGACTATAAGGTGCAAAGAGAACTGTCTGGATCATTGGGCTCGGAGGGTAGTAGTCACTGGCTTGATGTCTAGTTGGCAGCTGGTATGTAGTAATGTCCCAGGGGTTGGTCTTGGCACAGTTTTCTTCAATATCTTCATCCTGTACTTAGGATGGAACAGTCTTATGTACTACTACCGGCTGGGGACTGACTGGCTAAGCGGCAGCTCTGCATAAAAGGACCTGGGGGTTACAGTGGACAATAAGCTGAATATGAGCCAACAGTGTGCCCTTGTTGTGAGGACTGCTAACAGCATACTGGGCTTCATTAGTAGGAATGTTGCCAGCTGATTGAGGGGTGAGGCCAGGTCTGGAGTACTGTGTCCAGTTTTGTGCCCGCACTACAGAAAGGATGTGGACAAATTGGAGAGAGTCTCGTGGAGGGCAACTAAAAAAGTGAGGGGGCTGGGCACAAGATGTGTGAGGAGAGGGTGAGGGAACTGGGTTTTAGTCTGGAGAAGAGAAGACTGAGGGGGGATTTAACTAGCAGCCTTTAGCTACCTGAAGGGTGGTTATGAAGAAGATGCAGGTAGATTGTTCTTGGTGGTGGTAGAGGACAGAACAAGGAGCAACGGTCTCAAGTTGCAGCAAAGGAAGTTTAGGTTAGATGTTAGGAAAAACTTCCTCACAATGAGGGTAGTAAAGCACAGGAACAGGTTACCCAGAGAGGTGGTGGAATCTCCATCCTTGGAGGTTTTTAAGACCTGGATAGACAAAGCCTTCGCTGGGATGATCTAGTTGGGGTGGTCCTGCTTTGAGCAGGGCGTTGACTAGATGACCTTAATTTTTTAACCGTAATTTTCTATAAATTGTCTACTATCAGCTGCAATATGAGCAGTAAGATTTTTTGCTGGGGGTGGGGGGCGGAGAATTTCTGGAGTGCCAGGATGAGGGAGGAGGGGCGTGTGGGCCAGCTGCAGTGTGTGTAAGTGCTTTGTTGCTAATACACTGATTGTTCCACTGGGATAATTCAGCTCTTTGTGGAATGCCACCATGCAGCTGGTCTGATTTAAGGAAAGGGTTTTTTATAACTGTGGTAAGAATGATTTTTAGTATACAGGGGTGAGGGAAATGGAGAGTGGAAGTAGCTGCATCTTCAGGATTAAAAATTCTGAGCCACATTCCATCCGGGTGTAGCTTGGAGTAAGTGAGCTTGAAATGGAAATGCCAGCCCTTTGCTTAATTGTGTAACAGTTCAATGTTTAAATAAAAAATGCTCTAGGAAGTTGGAGGTTGAAACTGGAACATCGTCATCTCTGCTTGCATTGCCATCTACATGGATGAAGAAATCCACTTCATCCTTTACTCTGGGTTGCCAGCTTTTGCCCAGATAAATACCTTATGTTTAACAGAGGTACTTGATCTCTTTCATAGATTTCATAGACATTAGGGCTGGAAGGGACCTTGCAAGATCATTGGGTCCAGCTCCCTGCCCAAGGAGCAGGATGTCAGCGGGGGTCAGATCACTTAGCCATTTTTGTTTTTTAAACTAAAACTTAATGCTGAGAGATGGTGAAACAACTGAAAGGTTCTTAAGTGCCATTATCTGTTATCCTGAAATAACTGACTTCTCCATCTAAATATCTTACCAACTCTAGATTTAAATGGCATTGAGCTATTGTGTTACTGAAGTGCTGTTGTAGCTGTTGGGTGTATGGATATTGGAGGTGGAAAGGGGTTTAAATTTTCACTTGCAGGTCTTGAGCAAGTGTTCTTGCTACTAGTCAGCTCTTCTACATTTACTGATCTTTCTGGATACATTTTTTAAATCATAGCTGTTTAGTTTATGAATGGTTTCTGGAGGTTTATGTATCCTTATACTGGCTTGGTTTAAAACAAGATCACCGATTGCCGCCCTTGGAAGATTTAGTATGTATGTTTGAAACAAGCCAAACTTAGTTCAGGTTGAAGTGTTATAGCAGATTATGACGGAACCTACAGAAGCTCACATAAAACATGAGTGTTTGCAAAAATGAAGGCTAAGCATTCCCGTCTGTGTGACAGGCTTACAAAATGGTAAAACAGTTATTGTTAAGGATAAAATGTTGTAATCAAGATAAGCATGTAAAGAACGCAACAATGACTTTACTATAGTAAGCTCAGTGAACTGCAAGCATGTGAGAGAATTTTTGAGAAGCCACTTTTGTTTTGCTCTTCATAATGAACAGTGTAGTTTGGCACTTCTGAATTAGATAACTTCATAACTATTCCCTGTGGCTGACACTGGGAAGCCCAAGGTTGCCAAATCATTTAAAGGAAGCTATATACTTGTTAACATTCAAAGGCAACTTACTTTGGTTTTGAAAATCCGACTTTACACGAGTGATATAAACTCATTTTGAAGTTATATGCAGGAAAAGAAAAAAAACATCATGTGAAAGTTCTTGCACCTGCTCCTTCTGCTGTTGGAATTCGTTTTCATCATTTTATAGTAATTTATTTCCCAGTGAAAATCATTTCTATTAGCCAGATTCCACGTTCAGATCCTAGTAAACTTCAGGTCCGGTTCTTTACTCTCTTATGCATTTGAGTGTTTCCTTTCTTCTACAAGAGCTTGTAGGATCAAACCCCTGAGCTTATTAATGCCTTTATGCAGTAGTGGAGTTTGAGGTCTCACTACATGCATACATAATAGTCTATGATATACATCTAGAAACACATTTGCACTTTTAGTGCGATTATCTGAGATCCCATTTGAGCTTTTTCTCAATGTAAGCTGTCGCTTCTGATTTTCTTTCAAGACTTCTCAAAGATGCCTGCTGCCTGTGATTCGCTGCTTGAAGACATTGAAGATATTGTGTCAGCAGAAGATCTGAAACCACATGACCGACAGTTTGTAAGAAAAAGTGTTGTTCCTAAAGTGAGAAAACGCAACTCGCAAAAGAATGTTCAGGCAGATGACGATCCCCCAAGCGACAGGTAAGTGTTTTCTTCTAAAGAAAATTCCCAACATGCATTGCTAATGTGTTTGTTTTGTTTTGTTTTTTTAATAAGATGCATTGTCATTCTTCACTTGTTTTTCAGCTGCATTTAGGTTTTTGGTAATGCATAATTTAGGGTAGAGGCAAGTTTAAAAAAAACCTTACAATTCATTGTTGTGGCCAGTTTTTTTCCCATTAAGATACGTGAACCAGATTTTACACCCAGCATTTCCTATTATCTTCAGAGAAGTACTTGATACTGAATAATTCTGCTACTTTGGCATTTGACTGGGATCTGAGCTCCTTGAAAAATCTGACCCTTAGGTCCCTCTTTGAGGAATCTGGAGGTGAAGAAGTTGAAATTTTAGAGTGGTAACAGTTTACACTTGATTGTCGCAGAGTAATTATTAATGTACATAACTGACTAAATAAAGTGGTGAAATATCAATATTGGGTAACACAAATTTTTAGAGTATTAGTTTTCTTAACAGCATGAAGCTGCTGAATTGATGTATCATCTGCTAAGTGAGAAAAGAAAGGATAAAAATGAGTTTGTTCCTTGAATGCAAACTTGTTTTAAAGAATACTGAAGTACTTCAGCATACTGCATCTATCCTTTCGTCCCTCTCAACTTTTGTATTTATATGTGGTTTTTCAGTTTTTTTTTTGTTTTGTTTCCTATTACCGTGTGTAAAATAACTGATTGACTATACCCAATTTTGTCAAATGCAAAAAACACATGAATACAAATACTTTCATAAGACTAGATAAAATAGTTTTATAGAAATGTGATTTTTTTTTTTTTTTAATGTTAAAGGTGTAAGCTTCAAGTAAGCCTGTCACATGTGTTGATAAACCCAATAACAGAAATAAGTTTGTTTGCTTCTAATTTCCTTAACTACTAAGTGTCAGTATTTCTGGTGGTTTGCAAGACCTTTTAAAAAGGCCTTGCCATGAGGCATCATTATCTAAGTTTAGAGGTGCACTGATACATCAGTCTGATGTTGGATTGGCACCAATTTATAAAGAAAATTGACTGTATTGGAAATTGGCCTGAAGTGGCCAACTAATTTGGCCCACAAAAAGCTCATGCATGTGCACAGCCACCCTGTGCCTGCCCCGCCTTGGCAGGACAGCACCTAACCCAGCTCCACTTCCTCCCTCACTGCAGGGAGCATTGAGCTGTCTCCCCCACCCCTTGTCTCCCCTGCCCCTTCAACCAGAACAGACTTACTGGCTGAACTTGGCTGTATCGGAAATCGGATTGATATTGGCTGATATGCCTCCTTAAAAATCAACGTTTGGTATCAGCCCCCAAAATCTCTATCAGTGCACCCCTATCTAAATTAATGGCTAAATTTGTAAGTAAAGTGGATAATGAAATATTTTTTTTATGAGCAGTTCATTGCTAGCATTCTTTGGTACTGCTTTTCTTCTGAAAGCCTAATGCTTTTATCATTTTAAAGAAAACTTAACCCCAAAAGCTGTTCCCAAACTCTTAATAGCAGAATGATTTACGTTAAAACAAGTTGATAATGAAGTGTTCAGCATCTGTGATGCTATCTCTTTCTTTTCTGTGTTCTGTCTTGCCGCTTTTGTTGCAATGTGTAGTATATGAAATCAGGTAAAGGGGCAATATGTGTCAGATATGCTATGCAAAAATCAGCTAGGAAAACAAACTTAATGTAGATGAACAAGGCTTTTCTTAGCCTAGTCAGCTAGTGGATTTGCTCATTTAAAGATTTTCTTCACGGGAAGACCTGGTTTCTGGGCATCCTTACACCACAACAGGCATAGCCCATCAGCCATGAAAGAGAGAACTGGTATTTAAACAACAATCATGTTTGTTGCTTTGAATCCAAGGGCAAGGGTGTACACATGATTATTATGGCTGGTGTTGGTAGTAAACGCTATGCTGAAGTTGCTTCACCATCATGAATCATAACTGTTTATTTTCAGGGTCTTTTTTTCTCAAATTCCTTTTAGATTTTTGCTTGAAGTGCCCTAAGTCCCAGTTGTACAGTGAATTTCTTTTAGGGAAATTGAGGAATGCAGGTTCAGATATTTTTCAAGTATGAACTTTTCAACTTTTCTCCTGACTTAACGGCTCATTGTTCGTCACTCTACAGGTGTTAATGATAATTTTTTCCTTTTTAATGGTCTTGATGTTCCACTAATCTGGCTCCCTTTCTTAGGGTAATTTTGCTGTTTTGTAGCTGTTTCTGGTCTCTCTTCTATTGTTTCATAGTTCCAAAAACTATTTAGCTCTTTTCAGAATCACAGGTTTACCCATGGAAACCAGTCATCAGCAGCTAGGGCTTCAGCTTTTGTTAAACAAGAATGGGAGGCGTAATCTGAAGATCAGGCTCTGTCTCTGCTGTATGCAGTCATAACTCTAAAAACTCCTTTTCTTCATTCTGCCTTTCAAAACCAAGGTGTGCATTGTATGCCAGGACATGTATGTGAGGAAAATATGGCATTTATCTCAGTGCTCAGTGTTTGGTCTGGATTAGTAATGATGACTTAGTAGAGGTAAATTGTGTGGAATGAATTTCACACCTGGGTACAGTAACCTAGCAGTTCAGTGAAAAACTAGCAGTTCAGATGTACCCGTTTCACAGGTGTACCTGGGTTGCCTTTAGTGTTGTCATTCTGCCAATTACTTCACAAAATTGTTGGGATCTGCCTTTTAGATTTTTGCTTCCAAACAGCTTCAGTACGTTAAGTCTCTTTCCCTTTGCCATCCCCATGTGGTTTTTGATTCTGATGTTGTTATAATTTCATTTTGATTGCATCATTAGAAACTTGTTGCTTTCTTTTCTCTCCAGCTCATTGACATTGAGTAGGAGGTTTGTATATGCAGTTATTACTTAATGTTTTGAAAGGGGTTGTCAGTGATTATTAATGATTTCCAGTGTATAATGGCCAAACCCTTTTGTTCCTGAAATGGCATCATGTTTTTGTTTCATGTTTTAAACAGTCTTTCCTTGGTTTTGTTTACTCTACAGCATTATTCCTGGTGTACAGAAAATCTGGATACGTACGTGGGGTTGCTCTCATAACAATTCAGATGGAGAATATATGGCTGGACAGTTGGCTGCTTACGGATACAAAATTACAGGTAATTGCCTCATCCAGGGTATATCGTTCTGGTTTTTGGCTGACTACTGGAAAAAACTCTCATCTTACTAGTCTTAGTGAGGTTTAGTGAAATTAAGGTAGTTCTTATCTCTGCAAGTTAGCTGTGTCTGGTGCAAATAGACATTGTAATCTAGAAGTTGTGTTGAGTTATGTGAGAGATGTTTGTGAGCTGCTTCTTTTGAGTCGGTGCTTATCAGGTCAGAACTCGTTCCGGGCAGATATCAACCTCCATAAGTCACTGAATTTAAGTTAAGATAGGTGTAATCTTAAAACTTAATATTTTATTGATGTTTAAGTATATTGTAGCTTAACTGTGAACCAAATCCTGGGTTGGCATATTCTTGTGATTTGTATCAATATGAAGAAAATTACTCTTGTCCAGGTTTAACTTTAACTTCTAATAGTTAAGGACCTACTGAATTTGTGATTCAACATTGCCCGCAAAATCCGGGCAGTGCCTGCAAAATCTGCAAGGCGGGGGGGTGGGAAACAACTTGCCAAGCCCCGCGGCAGTTCAGTGCGGAGGAGGGCTGCGCCTGCCCCTCTCTACCAATTGGCAGTGATGGTCAGAGCTTCATGATGGACAGACCTCTCAGCCAATCAGTGGCAGGGGGCAAGGCCAGATGCCAATCAGGCTCTGCAGCCAGGCAGTGGCGAGGGGCCAAGTCACTGGAGCCCTGTGGCCAATCAGAGGCATGGGGGGGAGGGGCTGCCATGCTACAAAATGGGCAAGCAGCCCTAGCAAATTAGGTAGGTCCCTACTCATGCTTGTTGAAGATGGCTTTTACAACAGATACACTGAAACCTTTTTGTTGCTGTAGTTTTAGGAAACTTGGAGAATATTGAATGTAACTGAGATGAAAATGGAGAAACCAAAGATTTGTTATGCTCAGCTGTGTAACTGAGGATGCTAGTTTGATGCCAGTCTCTCTTTCTGGTGTGAGAGGCTTTGTGATATAAAGGTAGAACAGTTGTCTGTGGGGACAAGGGAACACCTTTTACTGTTGTTGATATATGCTCCCACTTGTCTGCTTCACAGCTGCACTGATAAGATTAAAAAAAATAATTCCAGTAGTCACTGGATATATTTTTCTTTCAGTGGTCTCTGGTAGAATAAGTTCATTTTTAGTCTAATTTTTCAAGTTGCTTGAATCTTTTTGTAAGATTGTACTGTTTGTAAACCAGTAATCTGAAAATACTATAATGGGAACACAAGCTGATATGGCTATAGGCAGTGCATTGGAAGGAATGCCCATTTCTTGTGTCTATTTTTGGGTTAGGTTGACTGACGTGGGTACAGATCCTTTTTATGGAGGGATTGACATAGTGATGTATGTGGAATGTGTTTGGATCTCCCCTCATCTCATTTTCTTCCTTCTGAGGTTTTCAAGTAACTGACGTTCTGATCCATTGCACTTTTTCCTTGATACAAAGAGCAGAAGCATAACCCTCCAAATATAGGGCTGAAATAATTGCTAAAGGAAGACGCTACGCCAACATTTTTAAGATATCAAAAGTAAAAGTTATTCTACACTGGTGAGAGTTCAAAATGAAGGACATGATGCAAAACCACAGCAGTTGAGGTAGTACTTTTAAAATAAACTTTGTACTATCAAGCAGTTGCTTTGGCCTATATCAGGATATTTTTTTTGATCTTATGACTGACTAATCAAATAACAGATGAATTGAGAGAGAGAGTAATATAGGTGTAAATTACTAATTGATTTAAGTCCCTGTTAGAAAGACTCTGTGTACTTTTTAGTAAAAATAAATAAATTTTAATCTTTTTTCCAGTAGCATGTTTTAATAGAAACTGTACTTTGAAGTGTAGATTTAAAGAATAACAATTGACAGAGAATAAAATTCATGATATAACTTGTTTCTAACACTTTCAAAACCCCACAAGTACTTTTTTAATGCAGTTTAGTTTGTTTAAATGTTATATCTAAATAGAAAACAGGTGCTTTTGTTAGTGCATGATTCTCTGAAGTAGTGAATTTTTTTCAGAGGGCTCCTAGCTTTTTACTAATTTGAAAGACTCAACATAATGTTCTTTAACTTAATATTTAAATAAATAATTATCCAAAAATGAGATACGAGAAGCTGTGTCCGTTAACATAAATTTATAGTATCCAAAAGTTTCCCTGAGTATGGTAGGCCATTTTGGGCAGAAATGGTTAGGATGTAGAGGTTTATAGTCCAGTGCTTTTCAGTCTTGTTAGACTTGAGGCATCCTTGGAAAATGCCAGCTTGTGTTTTGACTATGGAAAAGAGTAATTTGTCTGTTGTAAAGAACTCAAAATGACTACAGCATGCCAGAATGTTTTTGATACTGGAATTCTGTTTGAAATCACTGGTTTTGTCTTCTAAAATGTGTATGTGTTTACACATCTACATGATAATATTGTGCTGCACCTGAGGGTGTACCCTGGTTGAGAATCACTGTTGTAGTCAACAGCACACAAGGAAATGGCTAGATTCAGGGGCCGGTTTGACTTCAGCATGATGAATGACTCTTCAGCTACTTATTTTAAAGCTGAGTTGATGTGGCTGTCTTTGCAAATCCAGAGCAGAACTTGAACTTGTCTCTGGATCTGTAGTGGCACATCTTAACTGCTTTTTCCACACACACACACTCTGCTTTATAAAGTGTTTCTGAATTACTATACTTTAATAGTTGCCCATAAAGCTGGGTGTGTATTTCTCAGCAGTATGTATAATTCTGGAACATAGCGTCATTCTTGTGTCCCCCTTTAAAAGGCACCAAGGTATCATAAGCAGTAGATAACTTTTATTATATTAACTTTTCTTGGACCATAATTAGTCTACATAGCTCTCTTGCATCATTAGGAGGTTCCTACTTAGAATAAGTTACTAAACAAGGGGAATTACAAGTCCCAAATTCTTATACAGAATCTTTTTTTTTTTTTCTTCTTTAGCGAGTTGTATACGATTTGGGCTAATAGACTTGTAACTAGACGTGAATGTAGGGATAGAATATATAGAACATGCCTGCAGCAATGTGGTGAACGTAATGCGTACGTGGCAATACTGGCAATTTTATGTGACGTATAACTACTAGTTTCTGAACGAGGGATTGCTTTAGCAAAATTTATTTAGAGGAACACTTTAACCTGGCAAGCCTAAAACGAGACAGCGTTCTCTCCTTCTCTGTTGGGTTAGAAAGTTTTGTTTTATGCTGTCTTATTCAGGGACAAGCCTGGAACTTAAATTTTTGCTAAAAGCAGCATAATGTTTTCAGTTGAAACTTAATAATTGTATACTGAATATTTCCCCTTCAAGATCAAGTTGCTGCTGATATTTGACCTGACTTAACCTCCATGCTGGATGTAGACATTGTATGGGACCAAAAGCTGAAAAAGAAAACTACCTGCCTCCTTTAGTGCTACTTATAAATAAAAGCCAGATACCAGAATACTTTTTTTTTGGAAGAGCACATGTAAATTACGGCTCTGCATTGGGACAGGCAGCCGGTAGAGTGGAGATGAAAGGAAGGATTTTTAGCAAAATCTGGTGTTTAAGAAAACTGGTAAGAAAGACTAAACTAGTTTGTTTTTTTTTGTCTTGGGCTTGCATATCAATACATTTGGGATTCTGGATAAATTTTCAGCAACTTTGTGCTTTGGATAGTAAGTAAATTTCATCAATCCAGACCATACATTTCTTTACAGATAGCAATGGCATAGGCAGAATCAAAGGGTATGGACAGACATAACACTTACAACATCCTAACTGCACTTCAAACTGCAAGAGTTTGGATGTACAGGCCACTTCAGACTGGTTTAAACTTCCTGGAATATTTCAAGAGCACACTGGGAAAAATGAGTACTATTTTTGAGCTGGTCAGCAGACAATCCAGCCCCTTAGGAGCCCCAAGCAGGGGTTTACACAGCCTCCCACCAGCATCTGCCAACCTCTCCACTTCAACCCACTGCTCAAAACTGGGTCTGTCTTCCCTTCTAGAAAAATCTTGGGGAGCTTCTTGTAGTCACTGACTTGTGGAAGCCTTGATGGTATGAGAAATTTACTACCCCCTGGTGGTGTTTTGGGAGCAAATCAATCCCTAAAAGAAGGGGGTTCTATTTGGAACCCTTAGCAGTGTGGACACTTCTGTCCAGGGACAGTTGTGAACTGGTTCATAATCTGTGACACTGTTGGAATGGTTTGAATGTTACATGTGTCAGCACCCAAAGCCTGTCATTCCGTGTGTGTGTGTGGCAGGTAATCAGCATTTGAAATAGACATTGGTAGTTTCTGGACTTCTGATCTGTATATTATCTGTTAGAGTTGGCAAGGGGGAAGGAGAGGGTGTTAGAGTGGATTCTAAGTATGTTAACTGATGAAGTGAATTCTCCCATCTGTAAGCTTTGCTTGAGTGCAGATTTAAAAGTGCAAATGCCCTGCAAGGAAAGGCCAGTCAAATATAGTACTAGTTATGAAGGTACTAATGTGCTTTCCTGGCCTAGTGTAGTTTAGCCTAGTGTAGTTTAAAAAAAAAAAAAATCTAGCTGGCTGAAGCTACACTCCAAGGAATAATATATGTTTTGAATGTCAGTCAAATACATTGGGAATTTATGTGTTCAACGTTATAGTTTCTGGGTGGACTTCCCACAGCTTCAAGGATATTGGACAAATAGCATATGCATCATGCAGCATTGTGGTCAAAGCAGACTAAAACAAGGTTGGTGCCAGTGATTACAGGTTCTACAGTTACTTAAAAAAAAAAAAGTGACAGTATTTTTAAATGTCTTTTAAAAATGGCCACATTTGGGTAGAGTAGATCTTGGTGGAACTTTAAAAGTGTGTCGTTCATCAGAATCACTCGTCATCTTCAAGTAATGTATTATGGAGGCTACTTTCTTGACAAAACCTTTCAGTTGTAAGTTTTTTCAGCTGCAGATTGAGCTCCCAGCTCTCTTCTGACCAGAGAACAGCAAAATTGTAAAATGCAAGTTTTGA